CTTGATTTCTTGGATGTTCCCTCGACTTGGCATCATTTATCCCCATCTCCATCTCTTGTCTTTCGAAAGTAGATTCAGGTTTCCCTGAAAAGCCCAAACTTGAAGAACTGACTTTCTCTTTCTGCATCTTAAATCCAACACTGCTACAATTGAAAGTCTTCTCTCTTTGGTCAGAATAGGGAATTCTAATGTCATCCTTATTCCCATCCTTCTTAGCGAAAGAGGTAATGGAGTTGAAGAAGTCGCATGGCCTAAACAATGTATACTCAGCTGTCATTTTCAAAGGCTTTCTAGCACTAAATGATTGAAAATTGCCAGAACTCAGTATCTGGAGTTCAGAATATTTTGTGTTTAAACTCATCCCAGCAGAAGAATTAGACTTAAGTCTCTCGGCCATATGCGAACACTTAGGCGAGCTGCAGAACAATGAGACCTACAACAGGTGTGAACAATGTGAGGAAGAGGGAAATATTTTTATTAGGACTGTTATTCTGCAAGCCATACTAATTACGAATAATTCTTCAAACGCACTCCTTGATGAATTTAGTATCTAAAAATGGTGTATGCAGGATTGCAAACAACATGTTTTTGCAAATGAAATGCTTGGTTATATTATATATAAAATTAAAAATTACATTTTGTCTCTCTTCAGTAGGAATCCAGTAGGTGACTCGGAGATGGTATATTTGATTTAACATATTACTCAACTCGATTACTTCTAATGACATAACAATGGATTAGGTTACAAATGTAATAGCTGTTGATAATTTCAGGCTCAAGCAGATATAATGACTTGCTCCTTTTAATAACAGCATAAGGTCCATCTGGTTCTACTTCTAGAATTATAAAGATCAAACCAGATATTACACTGATTAAACTTCCCTCCAAACATACTGCACAGGTTTGAGGAGCAAAGATGGGCAGCTGACCACGGCTACCATCATCCCCTACTTCAAACTCCACGTAAGCCGAAACTGACCTTCTCTTGCAACTCCACCAACATGGGCATGGGTGGGTGAGAGGAGACGACCAGGCCAGATATGCAGGAGGGAAAAGAGTGGAGAGACTTTGGTAAAGGGAGAATGAAGGAGAGAAGGTTGAGAAAAGAAGGGAAGAGGAAATAAAGAACAATTCGATTTCTAAAATACTTCCCTATGTATGGAATCCAAATTAAAACATCAATATTTATTCATGTTTAATGACTAAGTACTTCATTTTTGCAAACAGCCGATGCTGCACATACTACATACCACATAGCAGATGATTTGTTTTACTCACAAGTCTCAACACGATAACTACTACAAACACATTGAGGGAAGATATGAATAACTTCTCGTGATAATGAAATCAAGAAAACAGAAAAGAGCAGGACAACTTTCCATATATAGCTGAAAATGCTGAAGTTATTGGAAATTATGCTAAAAACCAAGAAAAAGTGTATTGCATGGTCTAGAATTAATGTGATTCGGGGGCAAGAAATTTCAATTCATATGGCATAGACTCCATTACAACCCAAATTACCACTATGAGCTTTAAAGCGTTGACATTGAAATTGAGAATTCAAACTCAAGAGGAGAAAAAATGCCTGTTTTGAAGTCTCAACTCACATGATTCAGCAATGGAGAAGCATCCGAGTTGGTTCTAGTGCGGGAAGAAAGCGTCCTCAGTGACATCGATCCAGAGGAAAACCTCTGAGAAGGTGCATTAACTTGTTCACAGAGAGCCATCTTGTTTCTCGGAGGTGCTCTGGGTCCTATTCCCTCTGCGTCATTAATATGTAGCCTTGGAAATAGAGGATCCATCTGCTTCTTTTCATCTTTCCCACCTCTCATTTTCCTCCTCGTTTTTTCTATTTTTCCAGCACGCAATATACACCCATCTATCAAACTCAGAACATGATCTCATGCTCATTGGAAGTTTCCTACTTAAAAGAATCCAAATTTGTCAAAAAGAAATTAAAAAATCCACTCCCTGATTAGCCCATCTCAGAAGAACACTTATTTTGATCAAAACAAAAGTAACAAGAATGAAAACATGAATATGAAACTAATTGGAAAGGATACCCAAAAAAAAATTTTTTTTAAAAATCAAAGCTTGTAACAAGAATACCCCAGCTTGCACTTGGTAAAATAAAAATCTTGCCAGCAAAGAAGTGAAAGGCAGAGCAAAATAGCACGTGAAAATGTGTCAAATGTTTAAGTTGAACAGAAATGCTTGGCAGTCCGAAAGTGAGGATGCCTCAGTAAAGTGTGTCAAACCAGATCTTTTAAATCAAGGGCAACGCTGCAAATGTAAGTGCTGGTAGTACTAGTACATTGGTTCATTCAATGGTCTAGAAAATATCGTGAGGTAAAGAGAGAAAGTAGAGGGCGGGGGTAAGAGACGAAGAAGTACAGGTGGTCAAGAAAGATAGATAGATTCAGCAAGAGAAAAGGGTGGCCTCAGAATCTGTAAAGATTGCATCATCATCAAAGTCAAGGACAGAAAAAAAAAAAAAGCGTAAGAAAGAGAGAGAGAGAGAGAATGAAAATAGCGAAAGACAGGGGTGGGGAACGTAGGTCCGACAGCGAGATAGAGGGAAAAGATGGCGTTGTTATTTGTCAAGCCATCGAGAAACCTCAACTGAGTATTGACAGTTGACTGTGACTCAGTCCCCCTCTGTCTCTCTCATCCCAATTCCCATGCATATGCATCGCTGTTCCGTCCGCCAACACTTGCCGAAACACTTGCCTCGCTGCTTGGCGTACATCAGCTCACTTACCAGTCCTACGTTTTGTGAGTTTTTCTTCAGCATTAATCGTCTGTTTATTACCAAAAACATCCGTTGATAAACTTGAGAAGTGCCCCTAAGTTTTTCCCTTAATTTCTACGCTTAACTTCGTGCAGTCCTGCACCAATTTTTTCTTGAAAAACATATTTTTGCCTAAAGGTTTGGCATTTCCCTGTCAACCTGTCTTCCAGTGAGATTTGGAACCCCACAAATACTAGTTCTAACCAATTGTGTAAATCTAACTAATAGGTATAAACTTGTATAATTTCAGTATAATTCTTATATGAGTTATAAACTCAAATTTTACGTCAAACATTTTTGTCAGTTTACAGCACGTGGACAAATGCTATAAGAATTTATACAATCAATTTGAACCAAATAACAATTCAATTTGTGAGACTCAGAATCCCTCGTGTCACCTAGTGTTATAAAATCATGGATTTGTAATATCACTAAGATAGAAGTGTAAGCAAGATATTTCGAATAAAAAAAAATGTAAGCAAGACATTTCGAGTTCAAACTTTTACGCTTATACCTTTAAAAAAAAAAAAAAAAAGGGGTATCAGATGAAATTTTGAAAGTTAAAGCAGAATTGTACCACTAGAAATTCAAAAGCTTTTCCAAGAGGGTCTTGGGTCTAAATGTTACTCATAGCTCTACAAGTTTAATAAATTATATTTTTCACATGCTACATTATTGTTATTATTTATTAGTCTAAATATTATTGTTTCTTTGCAAACCAAATTTAAGGAAGTATTAAATGAAATAAGCTGGCGGTTTGATTGGATACCCTGCGCTGCACTAAGTAGAACACAACTTGCACAGGCACTCCAACTTTGAGAGTTAAGGACCTCAAGACTAGGGCTGCAAACGAATCGAGCTGCTCGCGAGCGGCTCAAGTCAAACTCGAGTCGAGCTCGAGCCAGCTCGAGTCAAACTCGAGCTCGAACTTGAGCTCAGAATATTAAGCTCGTTAGCTCGCGAGCCGGCTCGCGAGCTTGAGTATATATATATATTTTTTTATTTAATAATAAAATTACGTATATTATATATATATTTTTTATTTTTTATTTTCATAGTGAAATTACGGATATATCCTTAATATTTTATTCAACCGAGTTTGGTTTTGGAGACATTTTCTCAACCCGTCAGAGATGTTTCTCAACACACGTGGGCTTAAGAACAGATGGTTATTTAGACCTTGGGCTCTGCATTACATAACATGCAATGTTATTGTGGGCTTTGCTTAATGACTTAATCTTAGCTCACACTGGAACGTGGGGAATTTGGCAAGCTTTCTTAATCGTGCCCCTGTAAAATTCGTGCTCTTGGACTTACCCCTGGTGAGAGCCAACACGTCAATCCAAATCAGACCCAAAAATTTAAATGGATCAAATTTCTTGAGCCGAACGCGACTAATTAATTTCACGGGTCATCCGAATCCATTCTGAAAAAACTCGTTTGCTTAACTGTTTTTTTTTTTTTTTTTTTACTTTCTCACTTGGTAGTATGGTGGTTTTTTTTTTTCTTTTATAATGGAGTTTCCATAAGAATATAGAAAATTGCAGCCCAATCTTGTAGTAATTTTTTCAATTTTTTTGTACAAAAAAAATCATGAACAAAAACAAAACTACTACACTTTCACAAATAAAATACATTATTTTTGCATAATATTCATGATTCCATTCTCTTAATACTAATTTATGGCCTTCGTTAGTTTTCTTTTTTATTTATTTTATGCCTCTAATTTATTATTAAATTATAAAATTACATATTAATTGGGTCAACCCGTGTTGACTTGAATTTGACATATTTGCTTAGCAAGTCATTCGAGTCTGGCATGAATTTGACCCGAACCCATAAATAGTAAATTCATACATACTAATTTCGTATTAGATTCAAGTCATGTTGAGAAATTCCACCCTTAGCGTAGCCCGGAGCCAGAAGGATGAGATCCAACATTAACCTTTTTGGTTTTTACCATTTGACAATTTGGAGTTGGATCATCCGTGGGTTGAACTTGAAGTCTCATGATGGATATTTTTTTGGAGTGGGTTAGCAACGATTAAAGAATACAGTCCAATAATCAAACATTAGTGGGCTAGATTCAACCACGCCGCTGATGGCTTTAAACTGGACGGAATGAACAAATTAATGTGTCGTTTTTTTAAAAAATCTGGATCTCCGTATTTTGGACTTCTCCCAGTCTCCGAATTTAACATGGGACCCGACCCGACCCGACAACATCCGGGGAGAGTCAGAGAGAAGGCGGGAGAGAGCGTGTGGGAGAGGGAGGTTCCCGCTCACGCGAATCTGCTTCACTGCAAGCCGGAAGGCGTAAGGCGAGGCCGGGCAAAGGCACCCAGCATTCTCTAATCTTTACAGCACAGGTGGCCTCAGCCCAACTACTGCTTCGGTGTCGTCTGATGTGATTGTCAGGATTTTAATGCGGCGATATGGGATAGGAAATGGGGTGAATTAATACACAAACTAATTACTACTACTTACTTAAATTCTTCTTTCGTCCACATTGCCATTCTCCTCTCCTATCCTCTCAAGGATTACCCCGCTGTGATTTCCATTTTGTCCTCGAGCTTACTCCCTGTTTTCGCTAGCTAATTTCTTCTTCTTCTTCTTTTGTTTTACCCCCCCCCCCCCCTTTTTTGGGTGTTCAGGCGGACGGCTGCTGTGATCACATGGCGTTTGCAGCTGGTTCTCTTGAGACCTGCATCCCTTTTCCTTCTGACCCAGCTCCCTGTATTTGTAGTCTTTATTTTAATCTCTCTCTCTCTCTCTCTCTCTCTCTCTCTCTCTCTCTTTAATTGTCTTTTCCAGCTTAACATTTATTTCAACTCCCAAACTTGTGCCTGAGCTGTGTTGGTTTTTTAAGCAATTAGCTTAGTCCTAGCTAGAGTTGTTTCTGGTGTGGCTATTTGTTTCTTAATTGAATCGTTCTGGTTTTTAACTGATGGGTTTTGCTTCTCATGGCCCTGTTTTAGCTAAGAGCGATTATGGGACTAGCTTTCACCTTTTTGTGTTTAGAATTTTAGACTCTCTCTCTCTCTAACGGGGAGGGGAATGGGCTGCTGCAATGCAATATTACCCGGACGGTTGGCTTTACCATTTGGGCTGGCCGTAGCTCTTAAGGTTTTATGAGCTGTCTTAACCATGATTTCTTTGCTGTTTATGGTTCTTTCTGTATTTCTTGACTTGTATTTTCCAATTTCAAACTCTATGCTGGTTCTACTAGTTTTTGTGTTTCTTTGATAGTTACTTATTAGTACCCCAAAAAAGGCTCGATCATTTGCAGTACCTTTCATTCCTTTACTTCTCATTCCATTTTTTTTTTTTTTTGGCTCTCGTGAAGTTTGTTTGTCAGTCATTTAGGTTGTTATTTGGAGCTCGAATGACTTCTTAGCTGTTGCTGCAATCTCAATGAAAATAGTATGCTTATATTGCAGGTAGCAATTACGCAGATAACGATTTCATTCTGTTCTCGGTGCCAATTCATATAGTAACCCATGAATCTCGGCTTCCAACTGAATTTCTCCATCCATCTCCTAAAAGTCAATTGGTCATCGGATTTGATTGTGAGGGTGTTGACCTCTGCCGACATGGAACTCTTTGCATGATGCAGGTATACTCTGCTATGCTAAGATTTTTTCTTAACAGGTCAATGTTAGCCAGCAATGATAAACTTCAGTAGAGAATTGTTATGGTTGTTTTATACTTCTATAAATGCGTATTAAGTGCTGCACTTGCCGCTTTTTTGTCAGCTGATGGAGGAATTCATCAACATTCTGCCATTTAAATTATGTTCTCTTTTCTCCCTCTTTAAAGTGCATATTGAGTATGAAATTTATGTCTATCAGGAATTCAACGTTTCTGTCCTTTATATCAATACCATTTTTTTTGGAGGTGTTCTTCTATGGAGGAAGCATCTTGTGAAATATTTTTGAATCAGTTCATCTTTAATGTGGTTTTGCAGCTGGCGTATTCTCTGATAGAGGAACAGCACGGACAGAAAAGATCATCATGTGAAAACATTTCATTTATGCGCCTCATTGCAGATCGACGCTATTGAGGTATGACATCCTTGTATTCTAAGAAGTTTAATTCCTTTCGAATGGTTAGGGTAGAGTTCATGTACCTATGCCTGATTGGTGGTATTCTTGTTCTTATCCCACTATGAAAGCTACATTATCTGTTAATAGTTCCTATATGCAGCCAACATCTGGTATTCTTGTCCCCACCCCACCCCACCCCCACCCCCAGGGGTCTCAACATGAGGAAAGGGGAAGAAAAAGGGGAAGGTGGTGAATGTCTGGGTGCTAGCGTTGAAATGAACTTCTCAATCCAGATAAGCTTCTGATACTACGAGGCAAGAACATTTCGAGGGAGAATAATTTGTTTGTGTGTAACTTTTTTTCTCATTTGCCCCATTGATGAGGGAGCATATCTACACTTTCATTGGGTTCATGACCAATAGTAGAGCAACTGTTGAACTCTGAAGATATTCTTCATCAAGTTTGGTGATCTGGGTATTAAGTTATGGCGTTACACCAAATACTTACGAGGTCTTGGTTAGTATCTCATATTATTGTTGATATAGTGTATTTCTGGGGGTAACTTTGTAAGAATAACTTGTTATGCTGTTGCAGAAAATACTTTACAGCTGTCTCATGCTACTATTCTGTTGAACAAGAAGTGTGCATATGTGGATCAAGACTCTTGTATTACCATTTGATTCATGTCTTTGTTTTTTTTATGGCATAGCATCTGCAACTAAGCTTTTTTCCAGATTTTTAATCAAAATTTAGTTTTCTTTCTTGATTTGAAAAGATATATTTAGCTTAGTAGTTGATATCAGACTTCCATCACTAATCCCCTCCTCACATATTTCAGGTATATCCTATTTTGAGAAGAAAGAAGTTCGCGCACTTCTGAGAGAGGTCAGCTTCGACTACAAAACTCTCAGCCTAGCTGACCTGGCTTTGTATGAAATGTCTATTGGCTCTTTCTGATTCCTGACAAGCACAACCCACCACATACACAAGCATGTATGTCAGGTTATTTACAAAAAATATTGTGGGTTTTATTCAAAATTTAAAAAAAAAATATATTCGGGTTGATTTGCCACAATATAGAAAGCGATGTTGTAAAAGTCTACTTTAAAATTGATACCACGGAATCAACTTCCAAATTGAAATCCGGACATGTACAAACAAATCACTTTTGAAACCAATTATGAGTTCTTAGTCATGGGCCTTGTGGTTGACCTTTCTTTCATGATGAAGTGAAATTTCAGATGCTTTCCCTAACAATTGTTTTGGGTATATACGGGTATTAAGTAGGGCAAAGGAATTTAGGCTCAGGTTGTTGGTATTAAGTCTGGGAGCTTGAGGAAAGAACTGAGGGTTTTTTGTGATTGGGGGAGTTGAGAGTGGGAATTAGGGAAGAATAACTATAGTGGAGGGACTAGATATGTGGTTTCATTAAGAGATCGATTTGTCAAATTATGGAACTCAAATAAATAAATAAATATATATATTAAATTTAGAACAATACCAGCAGTGTTTGTGTAAATGACCCAATGTATGTATTTGCACTGCTTGCCTGGAAGTAACTATGCACACATGAATTTTCTTGAAGCTCAGATTTAGTTTTGATAATTGAACTGCTCCTTCAATTCATCAAATGAAGCTGTGTCTGCAATCTTATTCGTAAAATGGATTCAGATAGTAGCTATTGGTTTAGAGTGGAACATGCAATGCACAGAAATCATGGTGATGAAGGCTAAGAATGCAGGAGCTTTGTTTAATTCAGTCTTAGAGATCCTTTCCTTTGAAATGTAGTCTTATAATTCTTAGCTACATACCTTTGTGAAATGAAGAGAGTTTCTTACTTGAATTTCAAACAATGAGATTTGTAATTGCAAGGTTCAAATGAAAATCAAATTGATAAATGGATAAAGTCAGATAGTTCATTGATCTACTTATTTTCATTCACTTGAGAACTTTATGCTGAAGTCCTAGGGCATGTTCTTTGTCTTCTTATTCAGTCCGCTTTACAAGTTTGTTTTCCTCTTAGCTGCTTAAGAAAATGTCATTACTGAAAAAGCGATTTGAAAAGTTCAAAGGGTGTATTCAACCTGAAGATCTTGAAAAGTAATGTGCCGGCTATGAAAAACACTAGAAAACATCTCTAGAAGTGCTTTGGGAAACAGTTATTTTTAGCTTTTCCTGTAGCTAAAAGCAAACACAATAATCAGTGCTCACCGTCCCAGCTGAAAAAATGGGACGAATTATTGGCAGAAAGGGATCTTCAATCTTGTATATCAAAGGATCCTGCAAGTAACTCTCTCTCTCTCATGAGCATATAATTTCACTTCAAGTCATTATGCAATGTCTCCTCTGCAGTGCTGAAATCTTGATTGAAGGGGGCTAAAGGGCCAGTAGAGAAGGCAAGTTTAATTTTATTTATTTGACATTGTCAAGTGCTTTGTTTCTTGAATCAATGAACTTGGGAATGAATCTTTCATCTACATAAATTCTTTTAATGTGTCTTTTTTTTTTCCTTTTCATGTCTTTTCTTTTCTTTTAGCCTCAATTTTACTAAAGAAAAAGGTAATACCCAATGGAGACCCTATCATTATCACTGTTATAATTGGGGATACTATAACTCTTTCCTTGGGACTGGTTTGCTGATGGCAAGCCTGAGGCTCGTACTTGAGCTCTTGATATTCTTTGTTTTCCCTGGGTCTTCGAGAAGTAATCTTTGTTTCTTCTTCCTGAGAAGTGAATCAAAGTTGGAGAAACAATATACTCTACAATTGTACATTCTAATGGTGCTGATACCTATCTCTTGGCTTACTCTAGGTCATTATCATGGGACCTGTAAAGCAGGTGCGCAAAGCAGAAGCCATGTTGAGGGGGAGAATGTTGGGAAGTCAAACCTGATTTTGTACATGCAGAAGCTGACATCTGACTAATTGCTTAATTCGAAATGTCTTCCTTCTGATCTGTGGAAAGCAATTGGTCCTAATGCAGAATTTCTATTAAAAGTTTCTTGCCAGAAAATGGTTCGAAGGTCACTTAAAATTCTGATCCTGGCATTGTTGTGAACTTGTGGTGTGGTTGACTGGCGGTGCAATGGATTAATTTGTGCGGCGAGCAATATTTTGATTGACTTGGACAATTAGAAGTTGAAGTGGGTTTGGTTGTCTTTTACTTGATGTTCCTCTCCTGGGGAGCCCAGCATTGCTTCGAGGTTTGGGTTTAGTAATGATGCATCCTTGAGGATGTCATGACTGTTCCTGTGTCCAGGGAGGAAATGTTTGAGGACGCTCATGAATGGGCACCATCATATCACGGTATCATGCTCGCAGTGTACCATGTAGTTTGTGACTGACTAATATGTTACGCCTTCTTCTGGGCCAATTTGATCACCTTTAGCTTGGGAATTCTAGGATCTCCTGACTGGACTGACCCAAATTCTAGAAAATGTCATGACAGCGACGGGGCATTGTGAAAGGGATAACAGATCCAACCAGGAATTTTGGCATCTCTCTCGTGTTGGGGGCCGAGGTTCCAGCATCCATTGGATGTGACAAATTTTGCTGTACATGCATCCAGACGCTGAACGAGCACTCGGGATTATGAAATGAAGTTGTCAGTATTGGCACTAAATACCCTGATAGTTGCCATGACAACAACAAAATGACATTTAGGAGTGTTAGCAGTACCGACATGCCCATCTTTCACTTCAGTTCTAGTAGCTTCATTAAGCTGTCACAGGTCAATTAAGGCAGCTAGCTAGCACTAGGCTCTAACATGTCCATTAAATCCGGTGGACGGTTGCCAATTTTTAAGGGATTAGTTTCTCACTTTTCATTAACTTTTGCAATCTACTATTTGCATTCTAAACTCAATACTAACGGTGTGCCTTGAAAAATTAGAGATTTTGGATTTTTCGTCTTCGTATCCGCTTCTTAAATTTTACTCTCTTTTTTTTTTTTTTTTGTTAAAAAAAGATTGGGCATGAACCAACGTCAATTTTTTTAGGGATTGTAGTTGTATTTGCTGATGTACATGGTATTAGGGCATCATGAAGTATTGCTTGGATTTTTTGACAAAAATATTTTTTTTGCGTGTATCGATTAGCAAGTCTCAAGTCAATTGAAACTTGGAGGAGAGTTGAGTCGGATGGTAAGACTAAAAACATTGCAAGTCTAAGCAAGTTTCAAGTCAATTGAAACTTGGAGGAGAGTTGAGTCGAATGGTAAGACTGAAAACATTGCAAGTCTAAGGTTAAGTTTAAGATTTCTTACTTAAAAGAATAGCAAGTCCCATGCCAATTATATGACTAGTGATGATTTTTTCCTTTTAAACAAAAAAAAAAAAAGACTAGTGATGATAACATTCTAGTAAGAAGATGGTAGAAACGGACAATGATTTGGAATTTGATTGGTGGTTCGTATGAGTTTTAGTCGGATCTCTTGGACCCACTCTTCCACCGCTGTTTCTTGATTTTCCCATGTGAGTGCAGCTCATCCAATCGCTTGAGTTGCCAATAGTGGTATTCCACGTATGATCTGGAGCATTGGGTTCACGTGTGGCCTCCATCATAGCAATCTGGGCGACTGGGCCCCGCGGTCCGCCATCACCCATATGCAGAGGAACCTGGCGAAGTTTTTGTGGGGCCCATGATGTTAGCCGAGCCGTTGGTCGAACTGGCTGAATAAACCGTGGGAATCCTGGTTTTGAGAGCCGACAACTCACGGCCCGTTACCAGAAATAACGCGAGTAGAAGGCATTCATTGTTTGATTTGGACATAATAAGATGGACCACCTTGACTGTGGGCCAAACCAAATGCCACCAGTTGGATAGGTCCAAATGAAGTCCACTGGTACAGCCCAATTTAATCCTGAGAAGCTTTCGAAGAACTTTTCCCTATCTAAAAGTATTAAAAAATAAAAGGGAAAAAGAACAAAAAAAAATCTTACTTTGTTTAAATGGAATTGAGGCGGTCTATATTTACTGCAGTTGTTGTGGCTGTTTTTTTTTTTTTTTTTTATGATTTGGTGTATGCTTACATTTGCAATTGTACTTGTATAGCGAGAAAGTGACGTATACAAATAAAATTCTTCATAAGTATAATAAAATTAAATAAGTTTATACCACTATCACGTTATGTTAAAAATATAACAACCGTACTAAAATATAATTTTACCTATCCCAAACCAATTTATAAAGTCTTCTCTTTCGAATCAATTCTTCTCCAGCTTCTCATGTTGAAGGAAAGTTTATCTCTTGGTGACCAACTACTCTAGAAATAGTTGGTTGAGGCAGTATGTATTTATTGAAGTTAGTGTGGCTATTGTGTGTGTGTGTGTGTGTATATATATATTATATTATGATTTGATGTATACTTACATATGCGATTGTACTTGTATAGCGAAAAAGTGACGTATACTAATAAAATTCTTCATGAGTATAATAAAATTAAATGAGTGCCACGTCATGTTAAAAATATAACAACCGTGGTAAAATCTGATTTTACCTATCCCAAACCAATTTAAGTCTCCTCTTTCGAATCAATACTTCTCCAGCTTTTTTTGTGTTCCACCAAATGTAACCACTGAAGGAAAGCCTGTCTCATTCATGTTAATCACATTGCATTCTCTCTTCACGTATTCGACTCACTTTATTGCCATTTGATTGAAAACCAAACTATGCCAACTCAAAACAACAAAACAAAAATGTGTTTCAAGAGTTGTAATTCTCGCGTAAAACACATTATTAGTTAAGATGAGGAAAAAATCATTTGGTGAAGATTAGACTTACTGTGCTCTTTAGCTGAATCAGATAACAATCCTGGGCAGCCAGAATTTAATACATATATATATATATATATATATATATATATATATCGTGCCCCCCCCCCTCACCCCCTCTTCCCACCCACGCACCTACGTGTGCATGATCAAGTTTGCTGCTCAAGTGGAAGTTACCAACCAAACCTCTTTGTTCTATACTATGATTTTGTAGCTCAATGTTAAGTGCCAAATGGGTGTATGTATACGTTGAATGATACAAATATGACTGATTGGAGTGTCAAAATGGATCTAGTTTAAGGACAAACATTTGAAAGTGATGGAAAAAAAAAAAAAAAAAAAGGAGCGTTGACACACACAGAAATGTTCTTAAAGAAGTGACAAAATAAGCAATTGCTATGGCAACCCATCCATTGAGCTGTACTGATGGGGGGCATGTGGGGCGATGCCTTCACAGTCCAGATGCTCTCTCTCTCTCTCTCTCGACAGAGACAGAGACAGAGACAGATAGAGAGGGGGGCATGCAGTGAGAACTAGTCTCTAGAAAATGGAGGATTTGTGGAGTTTATGAGATGTGAAAAGACAAAATCCTAGGAGCGAGCGGTGCCTGCTCCTCCCCCTAAGTCCTATCTTCTCTTCTGAGTTCTTCTGACTATTTTGCTTGCATAGCCTTCCACCAAGTTTTAATTTTGTTTATCCTCCCCTCCGCCCACGAACCCACTAGTACTTGTTCTATATTTTCATCTTGAAGGCGATCATGATGCGAAAATCCTAAGAAACATTTCTTCAGATCTGTCAAAGATTATATATGTTCTACATCATATCTGGTCTTTTTTTTAGCATATATATACTAGTTGCGTGCTACTCCATAAATTAAAAAAAAAAACATCCCAAGCTGATATTTCTACATGGGCCACGCTTGATGAAGACTGCGTCTAATACAGCGTTGGCGAGTATATACAGTGAATGAAGTTTGAGCTCTGGTATCGTATCAAGAACAGACGAGGGCAAGCAGTGTCATCCACTCGGGTGGGTTACCTAATGCATTTCCAGCGCGCTATGGCTGTAATCCAAGCAATTTCGACTTAGAAACAAATGAACAAGTCTTTGCATACATCTTATTATTATTATAATTAAAAAAAAAAGGAGCAAATTTATTTGCCTTGAAAGAGCAAGCATGCATAAAAAGAATACATAAAATTGTTTTTTTAAAAAAAAAGAAAAGGTTAAAAACTTTTAGCATCAAAAGGCACTAGTCTGAGGTAAAAAGTAAAACGGTTAAAAACAGGAAACGGCTATGATTAAGAATATGATTGATGGAAGTGTTTGAGAAGGATAGCAAGCCTTACCCACAGGGTAGCAACTTTTTTTTTTTATTACACAACTTTACAGTACGCATGAAGCAGAATGAGCCAAAAGGAAGTCAGACTTCAGAGTTCTCCACAGGTAAGCAATAAATATATAATTTGAAACAACATCCAAAATTGCTTTCTTCTGAAATCTCATGCTCCCCATCCGCGAAAAATACTCTCTTGCTTGCAGCCCCACCTAACTAACCAAAAGCTTATCTTTCCAAGACCATTACATCTCCTGTCAACTGTAAAAACTATGTTAGAATATTTGTGCAAAGCTTCCCCTTTCATCATACTAGCTAGCTAGTATTATATCTATCTATCTATATCTATATATATAGATATTCAACTACACACCACCACTGCCTACCCTACTTGCTCAATCAATCCTTTCTTTCTAATTCCTATATAACCCCTCAAACCAGCAACCATCATATTTTCGTTCAAGAGTGAAGAATATCGGTCCTTCTTCGCTGTTCAAGGCATAATAGCAGTAGTATAAGCCTATAACATCCTCTTAATTTCAGTAACATCCTCCACACTTGAGTTAACCAACTATTGCAGTAAATGACTTCTTTCATTTGAACGAGTTTTTTTTTTTTTTCTTTTAACCTTAAATTGCCCATGTTATCTAGCTGTAAAGTTCGACAAAATTTGTTAGCATAAAACTGACGTTGATGATGATCTTTTGGTTGATGATTGCAGTTTTCAAGGTACAGCATTGATTATGGTTGTTAGCACTGTTACAGGATTGTACACAAGATGACACGCATCTGAAGCCATTCCCGCGTCAGCTCTTTGGTTCTCTAACTAAGGCTCAACTCGCACGATTTCTTCAGTCGATCGGTTGTTCTTCACACTAAACGTTCTCCCGAGGACACAAGCATAAGCAGCTGGATCTAGAGTACTTACTGATCGGTAGGCTTTTCTAGTTTCTACTGATCAAATACCAGCCCTTTGACTTGGTTTAATTGAGGCAATAAATGCACTAAATACAGGCTATAATATATAGGTGGATAAGTGTCAATTTTGTGCTTGAATTCGGATCTTAATTTTCTGTCAGCTATTCAAGAGCCTTCTTGTCATTTTCTCTGCAACGGCTACAAGTTGCATCATTAATATGGATGGTTTCAACTGGGATGGAGCAGAAGTACCTGAGAACAAATCAGCTTCATGGGAGAATCCACAAGAAAGCCTGATGGTGCCCAATTCAAGTGGCTACGCATTTCTCGGAGGTAAAGTAGATATCCCAGAGGATATTTTTAATACCATTCAGTTGCTCCAAAGAACCGGTTCACCAAATTTCAAGACGTGCAGAGGAAGTCAGAGTTTTCAGCATTCAGCACCGGCTTTTAATCCGCCCATACAGGTTCTCTCGAGCTGGAACTTTTCTCTGCAACAAGAGGCTACAAAATTAGCTGGTGACGATGAAGTGCCTAGAAAATCATCAGTAGCTGAAATATCTTCTCCAATTCCTAATAGGACCGACTTCATCAACCAGTTGAATGGCCTATTCTTCGATTATGACACATCAAACAAATCAATCATCAACACCTGCCTCCAGGAAGCTAAGGCTGGATTAATAGCAACAGCTACAGGCTCCACGGAATCGCTTGATTGCCTGCTATCGGGGTCCAACAGTAACACAGACACCACATCAGTCGAAGATGATGCAGACATTTCCATGATCTTCTCTGACTGCAAAACCTTATGGAACTTTCGAGCTGTGAATGGTGTTTCATCGGGTGAGTCTGCCTGCGATAGCTCCAACGCAAAAGA